AAAGAAAGAAAGAAAGAAAGAAAGAAAAAAAAATTGGAAAAGGGAGAAGAATGAAAACTGGGAAATTGAAAAGAAAGAAAGAAAGAAAAAGAAGGAAAAAAAAGAAATTGGTGAAAAAAGAAGAATGAAAAAGGGAAATGAAAAGAAAAATGAAAATTGAAAGAAAGAAAGAAAGAAAAGAAAGAAGGAAGAAAGGAAAAATTGGTGAAAAGGGGGAGAAGAATGAAAACTGGGAAATTGGAGAGAAAGAAAGAAAGAAAGAAAGAAAGAAAGAAAAGAAAGGAAAAATTGGAAAAGAAAGAAATGAAAAGGGGAAAAATGAAAGAAAGAAAAGAAAGAAAGAAAGAAAGAAAGAAAGAAAGAAGGAAGAAAGGAAAAATTGGTGAAAAGGGGGAGAAGAATGAAAAAACTGGGAAATTGAGAAAGAAAGAAAGAAAGAAAGAAAGAAAAAAGAAAGAAAGAAGGGAAGAAAGGAAAATTGGTGAAAAGGGGAGAAGAATGAAAACTGGAAATTGAGAAAGAAAAAAAGAAAAAAAAAAAAGAAAGAAAGAAAAAGAAAGGAAAATTGAAAAGGGAGAAGAATGAAAACTGGGAAATTGGAGAAAGAAAGAAAGAAAGAAAGAAAGAAAAAGAAAGAAGGAAGAAAGGAAAATTGGGAAAAGGGGAGAAGAATGAAAACTGGGAAATTGAGAAAAGAAAGAAAGAAAGAAAGAAAGAAAGAAAGAAGGGAAGAAAGGAAAAAAGGGGGAGAAGAATGAAAACTGGGAAATTGAGAAAGAAAGAAAGAAAGAAAAAAGAAGGAAGAAAGGAAAAATTGGTGAAAAAAGAGAAGAAAAAACTGGGAAATTGGAGAAGAAAGAAAGAAAGAAAGAAAGAAAGAAGGAAGAAAGGAAAAATTGGTGAAAAGGGGAGAAGAATGAAAACTGGGAAATTGAGAAAGAAAGAAAGAAAGAAAGAAAGAAAGAAAGAAGGAAGAAAGGAAAATTGGTGAAAAGGAGAAGAAAAAATTGGAGAAAGAAAGAAAGGAAAGAAAAGAAAGAAAGAAAGAAGGAAGAAAGGAAAAAATTGGAAGAAGAATGAAAACTGGGGAAATTGGAGAAAGAAAGAAAGAAAGAAAGAAAAGAAAGAAAGAAAGAAGGAAGAAAGGAAAAATTGGTGAAAAGGGGAGAAGAATGAAAACTGGGAAATTGGAGAAAGAAAGAAAGAAAGAAAGAAAGAAAGAAAGACGGAAGAAAGGTAAAATTGGTGAAAAGGGGAGAAGAATGAAATCTGGGAAATTGGAGAAAAGAAAAAAAGAAAGAAAGAAAGAAAGAAAAAGAGAAGGAAGAAAGGAAAATTGGTGAAAAAGAGAATGAAAACTGGGAAATTGAGAAAGAAAGAAAGAAAGAAAGAAAGAAAGAAAGAAGGAAGAAAGGAAAATTGGTGAAAAAGGGAGAAGAATGAAAACTGGGAAATTGAGAAAGAAAGAAAGAAAGAAAGAAAGAAAGAAAAGAAAGAAAGAAAGAAGGAAGAAAGGAAAATTGGTGAAAAGGGGAGAAGAATGAAAAACTGGGAAATTGGAGAAAGAAAAGAAAGAAAGAAAGAAAGAAAGAAGGAAGAAAGGAAAAATTGGTGAAAAGGGAGAAGAATGAAAAACTGGGAAATTGGAGAAAGAAAGAAAGAAAGAAAGAAAGAAAGAAAGAAAGAAAGAAAGAAGGAAGGAAGAAAGGAAAAATTGGTGAAACGGGAAAGAAATGAAAATTGGGAAATCGGAGAAAGAAAGAAAGAAAGAAAGAAAGAAAGAAAGAAAGAAAAGAAAGAAAGAAGGAAGGAAGAAAGGAAAAATTGGTGAAACGGGAGAAGAAATGAAAATTGGGAAATCGAGAAAGAAAGAAAGAAAGAAAAAAAAAGAAAGAAAGAAAGAAGGAAGGAAGAAAGGAAAAATTGGTGAAACGGGAGAAGAATGAAAAAAGAGAAAGAAAGAAAGAAAGAAAGAAAGAAAGAAAGAAAGAAAGAAAGAAAAGAAAAGAAAAAGGAAGAAAGGAAAAATTGGAAAGGAGAAGAAATGAAAACTGGGAAATTGGAGAAAAAGAAGGAAGGAAGGAAGGAAGAAGAAGGAAGGAAGGAAGGAAAAATTGGTGAAACGGGAGAAGAATGAAAATTGTAAATTGGAGAAAGAAAGGAAGGACGAAAGGAAAAATTGGTGAAAGCGAGAAGAATGAAAATTGGGAAATCGGAGAAAGAAATAAACAAAGAAAGAAAGAAAGAAAGAAAGAAAGAGTTGCAGAAAGTGAAAAAAAATGAGAAGTCTTTAGTGAAAAGAAGTGAAGAAAAAGACCATAAAGAAACAGGAAGACAGAAGATGGCGATTGATGTTGTATTTAAACTTTTGAAGATTGTAGATGGCAGGGAAGCAATGCATCGTAAGAGAGTTCCGCAGACGAGAAATTAAGTTATTAGACTAGAGCATATGTTTGCGTCTAGCTAGTTAAATAGTAAAACATTGAGAACTAATTGCCAATCCAGTATCACGCTTAAATTCATGTAGTCAAGTTACCAAAAAGAAAAGCTCATCAGAACAATTTCCATGAAAATTTTTGCAGAAAAGACAGAGGAAAGCCACGTCACGTCGGTGAGAAAGTAACTGAAATCGAGATGCCAGGTGAGGATTGATTATATTACAGACCATTTTGTTAAAAATCTTGAAATGTATAGCCAGAAAATCAGACTAAATTTGGTTGCAATATTCAATGCTACTACAATAGAAGATATTGTTGCATCATCTAGTTCAACATTAAAAGGGTGAGACCTAACTGCCAATCAAGTATCACGCTTAAATTCATGTAGTCAAGCGAGAAAGTGACGAGATGCCAGGTGAGGATCAATTTATATTACAGACCATTTTGTCGAAAATCATAAAATGTATATCCGGACAACAGACTAAATATGGTTGCAAAATCCAATCCTATTACAATAGAAAACATTGTTGCATAGTTCTAGTACAACATTAAAATGGTGAGACTTAACTGCCAATCTAGTAGTACGCTTAAACGCATGATGTCGATGTACCAAGGAGAACGTTCATGAAAAAAAATGGAAAGATTAAAAATCCATTTACCTAACATAATATTATGGGAGTCCAATCGAGGAAATTTCCCTATAGGGAGATCGAGAAAAATATGTAGTTTTTATGGCCAAGGAATCATAAATGACAGGCAGAGACGAGAGACTTCTCTTTGCCTTCCATCAGCCATGCTGATGCTATCCTCCAGGAAAGTTGTTCGTTACCCCTCCTCGGGCTAACGTTCTCAGCTGACATGAAGTGGAAAGTCTATATTGTATCCATTGCTAGGTCAGTGGCTAAGAAAGTTGGTTCACTGTGCCGGGCGAGACAATTTTTCTCTCCGGAATCTATCTTGAATATCTATAAGTCTACCATTCGCGCATACTTAGAATATTGCTGCCATATATGGCCCGGGGCCCTTGCTGTTTACCTGGAGCTCCTTAATAAGACCCAAAGAAGAATCAGCAATATTATTGGTCCTGATCTGGCGGCTCGGCTTCAGTCACTTGCGACCATCGTAAGGTTGCCTGCCTGTGTCAGCTGATCAGAAAAAGTTTTACGAAAGTATTTGTCGATAAGACAGAGGGAAGCCAGGTCACGTTAGTGGGACAGTCACTAAAGTCGAGATGTCATTATATTGGAAGAAGTTGGTGCAAAAACGGACGTAATAATGTCGTTTTTGACGTTAAAAATACGTCAAAAAACGACATTATTACGTCATTATTTTTGCACCGACCTAATAATAGATTGCATTACAGACGCTTCTTTGGATTTTGTCAATAATCTCGAGATATATATTAATCTGCTTTTATTATTTTGATGCTTTGAAATATATTTTGCATATAATTAAGTACAAGTATTGAACATGCAGTTGATGATTGGGCAAATAGGCAGGGCTGTCTGTTTGGAAGACTGGCGTTATAAAATATAGACTTGGATCAGTTTAAGTCAAGCAGAGTAAATAACTTTCTAGCTTCCTTTATGCAGTGTATATATAAGTGTATGTGCGTTTGATTGTGTGTGTGTCACAGAGAGACAGAGAAAGAGAGTAAAAGAGGGAGAGAGAAAGAAAGAGAGAAAGTGAGTAAAAGATAGAGAGAGAAAGAAAGAGAAAACGACAAAGAGTGCAAAAGAGGTAGAGACAGAAAGAGAGAGAGAAAGAGGGTAAAAGAGAGAGGGAGAAAGAGTGTAAAGAAGGGAGAGAGAAAGAAAGAGAAAGCGTGTAAAAGATGGGGAGAGAGAAAGAGAGTGAGAAAGAGAGGAAGACAAAGAGAGCAAGATAGGGAGAGAGAAAGAAAGAGAATAAAAGAGTGAGAGAGTAAGAGAGAGAAAGAGAGTAAAAGAGAGAGAGAGAAAGAAAAAGAGAAAGAGAGCAAAAGTGGGAGAGAGAAAGTGTGTAAAAGAGGGAGAGAGAGAAAGAGAGAAAGACAAAGAGAGCAAAATAGGGAGAGAGAAAGAAAGAGAGTAAAAGAGCAAGAGAGAAAGAGAGTAAAAGAGAGAGAAAGAAAGAGAAAAAGAGAGCAAAAGAGGGAGAGAGAAAGAGGGAGAGAAAGAGAGTAAAATAGGTAGAGAGAAAGAGAGTAAAAGATGGACAGAGAGAAAGAGAGAGAAAAAGAGAGAAAGACAAAGATAGCAAAATAGAGAGAGAGAAAGAAAGAGAAAGAGATTAAAAGAGGGAGAGAGTAAGAGAGAGAGAGAGTAAAATAGGGACAGAGAGAGAGAGAGAGAGAGAGAGAGAGCGAAAAGGAAAGACCCAAATAGATGGAATGAGCTTAACATTTTTATGAAAGGAGATCATATTAGAAATGTTCTTGACACACGGAATCATTTTTGATAAAAGTCCGATATTATTATGACTATTCGGAATATTACTCTTCCTAATGGGATTATAATTCGTGTTTTTATTGTTAGGGTCAATTATAATTGTCACTGTCGGAGGAATAATTCTGATCTTATTATGAGAGTAAATCCCGTATCTATCTATCTATCTATCTATCTATCTATCTATCTATCTATCTATCTATCTCATTCTATCCACATCTATCTATCTATCTATTTATCTATCTATCATCTCTATCTATCTGTCTCAGTTTCTTCATTTTGTCCATTTATCTTTTGTGTCTTTTTTATCTATCTATCTCATCTATCTATCTTTCTATCTATCTATCTATCTATCTGTCTGTCCCAGTTTCTTCATTTTTTTATTTATCATTTTGTGTCTTTTATCTATCTATCTATCTATCTATCTATCTATCTATCTGTCTGTCTCAGTTTCTTCATTTTGTCAGTTTATCATTTTGTGTCTTTTATCTATCTATCATCTATCTATCTATTCATCTATCTATCTATCTATCTATCTCAGTTTCTTCATTTTGTCAGTTTATTATTTTGTGTCTTTTTATCTATCTATCTATCTATCTATCTGTCTGTCTCAGTTTCTTCATTTTGTCAGTTTATCATTTTGTGTCTTTTTCTATCTATCTATCTATCTATCTATCTATCTATCTATCTATCTGTCTGTCTCAGTTTCTTCATTTTGTCAGTTTATCATTTTGTGTCTTTTTATCTATCTATCTATCTATCTATCTATCTATCTATCTATCTCAGTTTCTTCATTTTGTCAGTTTATTATTTTGTGTCTTTTTATCTATCTATCTATTCATCTATCTATCTGTCTCTGTCTCAGTTTCTTCATTTTGTCAGTTTATCATTTTGTGTTTTTTTTATCTATCTATCTATTCATTCATCTATCTTCTATCTATCTGTCTGTCTCAGTTTCTTCATTTTGTCAGTTTATCATTTTGTGTCTTTTTCTCTATCTATCATCTATCTATTCATCTATCTATCTATCTCAGTTTCTTCATTTTGTCAGTTTATCATTTTGTGTCTTTTTATCTATCTATCTATCTATCTATCTGTCTGTCTCAGTTTCTTCATTTTGTCAGTTTATCATTTTGTGTCTTTTTATCTATCTATCTATCTATCTATCTATCTATCTGTCTGTCTCAGTTTCTTCATTTTGTCAGTTTATCATTTTGTGTCTTTTTATCTATCTATCTATCTATCTATCTATCTATCTATCTATCTATCTCAGTTTCTTCATTTTGTCAGTTTATCATTTTGTGTCTTTTTATCTATCTCTCTATCTATAAACGTTATTTTTAGTAGGATCACGTATTTGGGTTTCTATCAAATATAGCGACTCAAATAGGTGAACTCACTAAAAGAAAGGACATTTATAGTAATAAAGAGGCAGATAAAAAATCCACTCAAAATATCTATCTATCTATCTATCTATCTATCTATCATCTATCTATCTATCAATCTATCTATCTATCTAAGTCTGTTCCTATCTATGTATCTATCAATCTGTCTATTTATCTATCCTTATATATATATATATATATATATATATATATATATATATATATATATATATATATATATATATATATATATATATGCATGTTTCAAAAACGACAGACAAGGTACTACAGTTGAGCTTTTTTTTTAATTTTTCTTGTGTTCTGACAAGAGCTTTTTTTCTGGACAAAGAGTGTGTAAGAACTGTCCGAATGTTCTGTGTTTCCGAGCGCTTTCGGTTATAAAGAAAAGCCATTATCAAGGATGGTTCATTATCAGCTTAGTAGAGTGTGTGTTCTATGTATGTTCAGTGTGTGTGTAGTGATGTTTTAGTTCTGAATACGGGATTAGCACATTGTGGCTTTGTTCATAATTGATATTGTTAAGACAATTCGACAGTTCTTACACACTTTGTCCAGAAAAGAAAGCTCTTGTCAGAACACAAGAAAAATTAAATAAAAAGCTCAACTGTAGTACCTTGTCTGTCGTTTTTAATGAAACATGCATAAAGGAAGGATTGCTGCTTAATATTATATATATATATATATATCTATCTATCTATCTATCTATCTATCTATCTAAGTCTGATCCTATCTATCTATCTATCTATCTATCTATATCTATCTCTCTCTCTCTATCTCTCTCTCTCTCTATATATATATATATATATATATATATATATATATATATATATATATATAACTCAGTCTGTTCTTATCTGTCTATCTATCATCTAAGTCTTAGATTCTAAGACAACCTCTAAATAGCCGAAGCACAGCATTGTAGCAGATATATTCGAATTAATGGTAATCGTAATTGTGAGAATAATCCTTTCCATACAGGAAATAGGCATTCATTAGGCAAAGAGTTAATGTTAATGTCGGCTGAAATTTATAAAATCTTTCTCTTAAAACCATTTTTTAGTAAAATAAACTTCTCAAGTTCACCGTTAGCACGCTTTCTAGTATTGATGGGAGTTTCCTATCTAACCTTTTGTTCAAACCAGTGTGGTAAGTTAACTTCCTGTTTATATTATTATTTTCCCTTGTAGTTACATGTTCTATTGATTTTAGTTGTTGCTACTCTTGCAAGTCTTTAATTCATGTGGCTTTTGTTAATTGGTATACTGCCTTGTGACGTTGTAGCGACATCATATAGGGTTTGATGATGTGTTATCTTTTTTTTAAAAAGATTCTTTCTCTTGAAGCCATTTTTAGCCATTGGTCAGAAAAAACGATTATATATATATATTTTATATATATATTATATATATATTATATATTGCTGAATGTTTATACGTTTCTGAACCTTTTTTGGACGCAATGCAAGAAATCCATATGATATTTAGATCCTGCAATTCTAACAAAGTACCAGAAAATGGTTCAGTTTATTTTACGACGTCTTTGACTAATTTACAGTTTTTTTTTTCATAATCTGTGGCATATTTAAAGATTATGATTGAGTAATATAACTGGGCAGAATGTGCATTAAAAACTTTATTTTGCAACCCGAAGATAATTTCTCTGGGTTGCATGGCCAGTAAGAGAAAATGCGTTGAAGTGCAGTATATCCTCATTTGAATAGATTGCTCCAGAAAAAAATGGCCTTTTTATTGTCTCCAATGTATCAATCAAAAGATCTAATTGCACTGGCTGTGCTACGCAGTAACAATCTGCTGTGGCTTCAAGAATTCGCCATAAAAATCCCTTTAAAAGAATCCCACTAGACAGAAAGATACCATTAACCACTCAGTAGACTTTTGAGGTTACCAAAATTTTCAATTAAGTTAAATGATAATACATGTTCTAAATGTTAGCTCAGCACTGACTAATGTTGTAAACAATATATGTAGCTGTCTCTGAAGAAAAGAAAAAAAGTTATGCCATTATAATTTTTTTTTTTTTTTAAAAGCATATACAAAATGGCAAAATCAAACAAGCTAAGCATTGAGATGAGGGGACAAATTGAAATTTTATTCAAAGAAGGCTACTCTCAAAAACAAATTACCAAGAAGCTGAAGATTTCAAGACATGGGTGCAATATTCATTACAAAGGCAGTTAGAAACTGGCACAAATGTTGATAAAAAAAAAAAAAAGAGCTGGAGCATTAAAAGTGACAACTGCTGCTAAACACTTGATTATTGATAGCAAAAGAATTAGAAGGAAATTCTCCAGAATTGACAGCTGAACTTAATTTCTCTTGAACTAAATGTCACTCTCAACTGTAAAAAAAAAAAACAAAAAAACACTTAGATCAGTAGGGCTGAGGAGATGCCTAACCAATTAAGAAACTCCTGTTACAGAAGGTGAATAAGCAGAAAAGACTTATGGACAAAAAGCATAAAAAATAGACATTGAAAGAGTGACAAAATGTATTTTGGATAGACAAGTTTCAAATTTTAACCTTTTGGTAGTAAAAGAAGAAGATATGTGAGAAGAAAGCCAGGAAAGACTGAATGATGAATGAGTGATTCCAACGGTTAAGCATGATGGCTGATGGGACTGTTTGTATGAGAAACATTATATTTTATTTTCACCATTAACCGTTCACTAGACTTTTTGAGGTTACCAAAATTTTCAACTAAGTTAAATAATAATACAGGTTCTAGATATTATCTTAGCACTGACTAATGTAAATAAAACATATACATCTGTCTCTGGTTGAAGAAAAAAGTTTGTACCTTTAAGATGGTATTTTTGTTTGTTTTTTAATTTATTTTTTTAGTTTTGAATAATTTTCACAAAATGGTAAAATCAAAGCAGCTAAGCATTTGAAGTGAAGGCATAAATTGCCAAGAAGTTGAAGATTTCTAGACATTGGGCGGGGGGGGCAATATTAGTTACAAACTCAGTTAGAAATTGGCGCAAGTGTTAAACAAAAAATACCTGGACTAGTAGAAGAAAATAAACTAAAACTGATGGTAGCATCTATCTAGTTAAACTTTAACTTAATTCCTTTTAAATCAATCTCACTAGCTACAAAGAAGGGTCGTTTCTTAAGGTTGTGAAGTTCAATTTGTCCTCTGCAATGACAGCCTTTCTTAATCACTTAGCAAGAAGATCAACACAACCAAGTAACACATATTGTCTCGAAAAATGCAATCAAGTACCCAGTTTGCTAAACCAGCGATCTCCCAGGTCATTAAAAAAGATTGTTGCTGACTATATCCACGATAAAATAAAATTTATCACTTCAAACAGAAGTAAAGCTGAACAATTTTATATCGAGTAATACATTCGGCCAGATTTTATTATACAACTTAATTCTTTTTATATGAGCAATTTAAAAAAAAATCATTTCACTCCAAGCAAGGCGATAAAAGCCACTAAAATGCAAAGGGGTTACTGAGTGTGAAAGAATCTGAGAAAATATTATCGTGAAGAGAAGACAATAAAAAAAAAAACAGGATTCAAGAAGACAAAAGATGCTTTTGAAGATCATACTTCACAGAAAACCGGACTTGGGTTGAAATGATAAAAAAATAATCCTAAATTCAACATAGCCTGAAAAGGAAACGGTTTCGTCAGGTTATCTTGCCTTAATGGATTACGGGAGATAGGATAGTGATCGTGACCATATGGGATTAAGACTAAAATCCAATAAATTATAACCAATTATTATTTTACTTTTTAAGTTAATATGGTCTCCTATATATTCTGTAACTTTCATCAGTATTTCAGTCGTTGATTTCGTTAACTTTTCTACTGTTTCATCTTTAACCTTACAGTAGATTTTCTTTCTTTCCTAAAATCTTTCTTTGTTTTCCATTCTCATATACGCCCTATTAATGATGTACCACACGTTTTCCATTGGCTTAAGAGCCACAAAGGCCGGTATCTATTCTATTACTTTGTTCTTTGAAACTCTTTCTTTGGCAAGGTGGGCTGAATGTAAAAGAACATTATCTTTCACGATTATACTCGTTAGACTATAGTTGTTATGTTTTGACCTGCACTACTCATGAAAACGCCCTGTCTAAGAATTTACAATAATACTCGGCATCCATCTTGATAACGTAACAGTGGAGACTTATATATATATATATATATGTAATTTTCCAGATTTTTTTTACCCCAAAATGAAAATCGATTATACAATCTAAGATCTTTAAACACACGTACACATGCATATACTCAAACATACACACACACACATACAAACCACCCATATATATATATATATATATATATATATATATGAGAATTCAACCTTAGCGTTGCGACAGCACGCACCAAAAGCTTGTATCTGTTAACAATGACACATTTTCAAAAAAAAAAAAAAAAAAACATATTTCGATTCGCATTTAATTTTTTCGTTTTGGATGCTACCTGAATTTTACCAAAAGCAAAATAATTTCCATGACTGAAGATGACTGAATGTACAGTGGAAAGTACTTGCGTATTAAATAAAGACCTTATACAGCTTATAATTTTAAAAAAATAAGGATCATAACATTCATCGAGTGATTCGTATGTTAATGCAACTGTAAAATTTTCTTTGTGAAGGGATTTCGCCATTTTATATCATTAACTTTAGTAATATCCTTTTTGTATGAACGATTCATTGTAATATATAGAATTGAACACGTATACGGCATTATTATGAGGCCATAGACAACATTTTTCCGTACACAAATTGATAAGCTGGTTCATTCGGAGTTATATATATATATATATATATATATATATATATATATGTGTGTGTGTGTGTGTGTGTGTGTGTGTGTGTGTGTGTGTGTGCTTGTGTGTGTACACCAAGAGGCGACAGTCTAATTTTGTTACCGCTTAATGGCGACCTCAGTGTCCACATTTATATTTACATAAGCTCTGTCCCTAATATTTACCCATAAATACAGCATACGTTAAAACTATATTTTATCACAATCTATCTATCTATCTATCTATCTATCTATATATATATATATATATATATATAATCTGTTTTTAATTAAGCAGTTTTAATTACATTTACAGAGCTGAATGTTCGAGAAATTTCGTAAGAAATATG